CAGTGAAACACACATGGGATCTGGAATCTGGAGACTCTGTTCTGATTCTTCTCTTTCTGATTCTTCCGCTGGCAGCCAAGAACAGTAAATGGGCTTCATCTGACAAGTCAACCCCAGCCCATAGTGGTGACCTAGAGTGCTGTGTGAAGAAGGATCTTGAGGGTCGATAAGGAGTCAATGGGAAACATTGCTTATCTGACTGATAAGCAATGCCTGCCATGGGTGTGGAAGCAGAGGGCGCGGTATGAGTAAGTGCCACCCCTGCATTGGCTCCTCACGGGCCTCTGTTTGCTCCTCTGTAAAATGGGCCTGTAACATACTCAGCAAATAGGGAGTGGTGAGATGTTCATGAGATACATATACAAATGTTCAGTGGATGCTGGTTTCCTTTGTCTTCTCCCTCTTTCCTTCCCCCAAATCCTGGCTAGCTTTCAAAGCCACACTCAAGCTGCTTCCTCTTCATGATCGCCTTCCCCGAAAATGCTAACCCAGGGTATCTGCTCCTTCCTGCCTCCCCTCCCACCTGCCAGTTCGCCTGGCCTGGCCTGGATTGGTAGGGAAGAGCCCAAACTTTGGAGTCAGGGTGGCCTGAGTTCAAGACCTGGCTCTGTCACTTAAATCGGCTGTGGGACATTTGGCTAGCTGCATCGCTGCATCCTCTCGCTGAGCCTCAGTTTCCTTCTTTGTAGATGAGGGTAATGAGCGTATACTTCTAACAGTGCTGGAAAATTAGATGAGATTGTGCATGGATAGTTCCTAGTATAGTGGCTGGTAGACAGTAAATACTTAACAAATATCCACAATTAGGCTTATTGTTATCAGCATTTGAAGGCTTAAGAATTGCTCAGGCTTTCTTTCTGGCTGCAAAGGATGAGACATAGCAAAATTCAGTCCCATTCCCAAAATATAATCAGTCTTGATCATTCAGTAATTTAAAAAAAAGTCAGGAAGGTCAGTGGGAAGGGTGAGTTGTCCAATCTCAGAAATGTGACTTGCCCTGGACGCCCAGATGCAGAGCAGACAGAGGGGTTCTTTATAGCTATGTGGTTTTAGGAGCCAGCATTAATCACTGCCTGACGATGCCTTCCCCTGAATAGTCTGGGGTCAACGTGTTTGGGGTTTTCACCAGCCGGTCCCTGACGCCTGTAGACGGCTCTTTCATGAGCTGCTTGCTTTAGTTTCCACTGACATCCTGGAGACCTGTTTGATAGCTTACCCAGACCTGGAGCTGGAGGGAGACCTGAGCTCTGAGCTACTGGGCATGTCCTGGCTCTGCTGTTGTTCTGTGGCCACGCTCTGTGGCCCGGGACCAGCTCCTGTCTAGCACTAAAAACTTTTGAAGGCCATTTAACCATTCTGTGTTTCCTTACATGTAAAACAACTCTGCCTTACAGGGTGATTGAGTTCATGGATGCTGAAGTGTTCTTTTAAAATGTGCTTTTGCTTTTCAAAAAGTACAGATCAAGAAAAAAATCTTAGCCTCTCTTCACTTTATCTGGAAGGGATTTTCCCTCCTTAAGGCAACAGCTTAGAACTGTGCGTCTCAAACTCCATATGGTGAAGGATCAAGGTTTGTTTGTTTTTCACTTATTGCAGAGTGATTTGTGGTCTCTCTCATGTGATTAGAATGTAGCACATGCCCCATGAGATTTCAGTGTGAGTCTTACCACGTGGAATTCTGTTCAATGGTATGA